TGGCACACAAGAATTGTTCCCAAAAGACTCCGATCACTTGGATTCTGTACCCCAATTCGGATAGAGCCCGAGGGACTACCACGGAATGGAATTGGGTTGGAGTGCATTGGTAGGCAAATCATTCCCATGATGGAAATGAATATGTTGTCTCCGCTTGTTTCTTGTTGTTTTCATGATCAATGAGGGGATTTTTTCGGATTTCAACAATGGGGATTTTTTCGGATTTCAACAATGCAAATTTCATCGAAAAGGCTAGAATCAGAAAATGTGAAGATGGAATTGTGCAACGGAATGAGGGTTAGATCAGTTGGTTTGGCATTTGAAACTAAAGAAGGTGTTCTGCTGAGGTACCACATCGTTGAATTGGTTAAAGCGGGGTTTTTCTTACTCAGGTAGACGATGGACCCCACACACAGATTATAGGATTGGATAGAGTATGACTAATACTAGGGAGACCAAATTTTTTAAACCACACCAATAAGAAATAAGCACATTAATCGACATTTAATTAATAATTCAATCATCTACAATCACATCATTCAGTTTGCAAATTTAGTTTTAAAAATTTGTAAACTAAATGATGTGTCACTAATAGAAAATGAGCACATTTATCAACGTTTAAGTAATAATCAACTTATCAACTTCCATGTCATTAAGTTTACTTATTTAGTCTCGCTAACATTACTCGGATTGGATATAGGAATGTTTGTTTGGACTTCTTTAACAAACTGTTCTATAAAAACTCGATCAGTAGCACTAAACATCGTATCTAAATGCCAAATGATTATTACTAATACAATTAAATGGTTCGACTCTATTTATATGTGAGAGGTATTAAGTTTAACTTTAACAATTATTACTAATACAATTAAACGGCAACATATAGCACTATTAGGTTGGGTTATGTGCAACCGGTTCTACAATTTGTGTAAAATGTTTAGTAACAAGTGAATGACTTATATGTAAATGTAAGATAATACGATGGACGGGGCATCGGTTGTCTTTTCTTCGGTGAATGCAACAAATTTACAGCAATCATTTCATCAGCAAGCATCTAACATACTGGCGGATGACGCTTTACTGTAGTACCAAAAAGAAATCATGTATGGTGTAAGTTCGATCCCTGCTGAATCCCTTCCCCCCTAACAACTATCTATTTAACCTACCAACGTTATCCTTTATCAGAAGAAAAAAATAATATAAAATAAAATAAAATAAAATTAGAAGATTCATAATCCATTGTATCAACCTTCAGTAGTTTAGATGAAGCACCCTTGAACATTCTTTATACAATGCTCTATGAATTCATGAGGAAGATGTATGACAATGTCCCAAAATTAATTATCTAGATTGGGACGAAAAAAACTTGATGTATGTAATGTCAATGGCGGAGCTAGGATTTCTTGTGAGGAGGGGCCTCACACAAGTATAGAAGAATAAAATTTGAATAGTGATTATAAAATTACAAATGCAAAACATCACAATATATATCCAAATAATTAAATAGTCAAAATTAACATATCCATAGATAATATGAATTTCATATTTTGAGACCGTTGCGCATGATGTCATCTATACTATTGAAAGAAACTCAATAGAGAGAATTACTAAAAATTTGCAAACCCTAAAACTCAAAGTAAGAGGTAGGATAGAATAGAAACAAATGTTTTATAGAGGATAATAGAGTTTAACAAACCTTATTGTTCTTCATTCAATAAATTTGGAATTTGGAATGGTTAAATATATGAAATTCAAGAAGAATAGGGAAATAGCCCTGGCAGTGCATAAGTGAAAAACAACTTTTGTTAATTAAAAGTGAATGATGAGTTTAATTTGAATGTTATTGATTTGTGATAAATGATGATTCAAAATATTATACTTAATTTTGGGATGGAATTTGTTGGATTAAAAATAGATAATGATTGGATTTGGTTCACGTGTTGAGAAGGGTTGCAAAGCAAGGTGTAATTATTTTTACAAGTGAGGATAGGCCTAGGACTACTCTAGTCCTAATATGCCTTCGCCTGTGTGTAATGTTGAAAACAAAAAAACTTCAGGGTAGTAAACTGATATTAACCCATAAAGAAGTTACACAGTACGACATCTTGTACAAAGTAACTCATGACGATGATGCATAACAAACAAGAAAATTAAAAACCATAACAGAGATACGATATTAATTAACAACCTAACCGTGAATTATTTGAGCTAGTTCCACACTAGTACCAAAGTACGTGCGTCCATGCACCCACTAATAAGTAAGTGATAAGTGATCAGGTCATCACTGGCTTAATTAATTAGCTAATTAACAGTTTTGTGTGCAAAAGCATCTACAGCGTAAACCCAAGCACCAGCCACCGAGGAAGCCCTTAGTTTGGCAAACAACTGCACAGTTACTCTTACTCACCCAAGTTCCATTGAAGCGGTTACTCTGACTCGCATGTCCTACCCTCAGCAACTGCCGTCCTAATAAACAATTATTCCAAACAAAATATGGTTACTATGCATGCTTATAATCATAATATATATATATATATATATATATATATATATATATATATTAACCATGAAGTTAGTTAACAAGATCGAGCAAGAAGAAATACTACTGGTGGCCACCAAAAGCAACAGGAAGAAGCATATAGTTGGGAGAAAACGCATGAAATGTTTTTTATGTATCTGTAACAAGTTTACACTTAAGATTTCAAACTTAATTAGGGTAACTTAGAATGATACAATTGATATATATTATATATAAGCTCTTGTAAATTCATACTAATACATCATGGAAGAAGTCTGAGATCTATATGAATCGGGACATCCTAAAAAATAAAGTCACAAATTAAAAAGCTTAAGAATTTACTAACAATGCACATACACTAATCCATAAAATATATCATACAACATATTACAATATCTCATGATGCATTTTCAAGTTTTGAAAGTGTTGCATAACAATTTCATTATCAAATATCTCTTCCTATAAAAATAATCATGTTATCATAAATCCATTATTTTCTTACGATTTCTCAATTGATCATTTAGAAATTTCATATCTGAAAATGCTTTATCACGTGAAATTATTATATGATATATGTACAATTTTTTCACAAACAACTGGGTTAGGGCATACACCCCATGGGCCCAAGGTGGCTCCGTCCTTGGCAAGACCTCACATACTATGCAGAAAAGTGACCGAAAAATATGAAAGTGTTTAAGAAAAAAAATGTGGAAGAGTCATTTAAATGTTATCAAGAAAATATTAATCTTTAAGGACTATTTCTTCTATAATAAAATAAAATAAAAATAAATAATTAAGTCTTTGCTTAAAAGTTGGTTAAGCAATTTCGAACCTTCTTCTAATTTTTTTTCTTGTGCATCAACCTCACCTTGTGTTACGTTTATTACCACTGGTTTAAAAGGCAAAAGAACTTAATACAACAGAAGGTGTGGACAAAAAGGTACATATGAAATTGGCAATGTGATTTAAATAATCTTTGTGACACAAATTAAAGTAATGTGTTGAATCCAAGTACACAAAGTGAAAATTTTCAACAAAATGCTTTGTCAAAATGGAAAAAAAGAAAAAATTGTTATTAGCATTTCACGATAATTATCGCGCACTCTTTCTTAATTGAAAGTCATTAAACAAAAGAAGAGTATGTGGTGACTATCCAGAATGTTAATAATAATCCTGAAGAAAAACATATAGGATAATAGGCAACTAAAAGTACGTCAGGCGTAATGAAAACACTACACTAGACATATGAATAATGATCCATGCAGGGTCATTCAATTTATTAGCAAAAGCAACCATGTGGATACAGGGCCATATCAATCCATCACATTACACAAGCACGTTCTCTACACAGATTACATTTCTTTTTAACTAATCAATTAGCACTTTTTGGTGCACACGCAAGCACGGGTGAAGACACTACAATGGCCTCTGGTGAATTGCTCCTTTCTGCAGGTGTGTTTACAGTTGTTAGATGAAATGCACAACCCTTTGAACAGGGTGCTCGGAACCTCACAGATCTTCCCCTCAACTGCCTTGCTTGGCTCAGTCCTTGCCTCAACACCCATTGGCCCCATCTCTAAGGATCAATTTTTTTTTGTTGAATAAGATGCTTTATTATAAACATCATAAAAAATTAATTATTAAACAAAAGATGTATAATTACCGGTAGCAGCCAAAAACAAGACAAGAATGAAGGCGGTTGAAAGAAGACACATTGAACGCTCCATTTGAATCTTTGTATATGTAAGTGTGTGCTTGATCTGTGTGTTTCTATGTATGTGCTTGTGTATAATATAAGAGAGATCTCAGACGCTGATACAAAGAACAATAATCATGCAAGGCTTATTATATAGTGATCTAGTGTAGATTAAAGAGGAACGGTCTCCGTAAAGTGAGGTAGCTTCATACCCAAAATACAAAGTTGAAATTTCCAACTTACGAGGCACCATAAACCAAATCCCTATTTTTGTTGACTAAGTTCTCTGTCATACATTTTTCTATGCACATTAGAGTTTCTTTTTCAAGCACATTTTACTTTTGCTTTTAAAAGAATATTTGGATTTTAAGCACTTTGACTTATTATTCACATTTTTATATGTAAATGATGCGGCATATACCATAGTTCTTATAACAATATAATTGTTTTTTTTTTACACGAGTTTTAGTCTGTCTGTACCAAACTAATCTAAACTATATAGATGTGGATTTGCATATTTGAATACCAATTTTGTAAATGAAGATAATATGATGGACGGGGCATCGGTTGTTTTTTTCTTCGGCGAACGCAACAAATAGCAATCTTTGCATAAGTAAGCATCTAACATATTCACATTTTTTCGCAGTTGTGGAAAACAATTATGCATTTGCATCATGGAGCATGTTTGATCACTACCAATTTTTTTCCTCCTAACTATCTATTTAACCTATTAACATTATTGTTTGTCCCAAAAAAAAAAAAAGCATCGAACATATTGCTCAAGAATGATAAAATCAGAAGATTCATAATTCATTGTATCAACCTTCAGTAGTTTAGATGAACCCTTGAACGTTCTTTATGCAATGCTCTACGAATTCATGAGGAAGATGACACGAGAAACTTACTCATAGTTCTCCAGGATCTACAGAGAGATCGGGTAGAATATTACGTCCTTGTTCAGGCGAGATAGTTGATGAATTCCGCAGCGGTCGCAATGGGCACCTCCTGTAATTGCATCCACCAGAACTTTATCCTTGTTCTCTTTGCTGGCTGCAGATACTAGAGCCCCTGTCAATGCACCCCCGAGCATGGCATTCTTCTGCAGGATATATATATATATATATATATATATATTATATGTATGTATGTATGTATGTATGTATGTATCTTTATATATTTAACAAGTTTACACTTAAGATTTCAAACTTAATTAGGGTAACTCAGAATGATACAATTGATATATATGTATCTTTATATATATATATATATAAGCTCTTGTAAATTCATACTAATACATTAGGGACGAAGTCTGAGATCTATATGAATCGGGTCATTCTAAAAATAAAGTCACAAATTAAAAAGCTTAAGAATTTGCTAACAATGCACATACAATAATCCATAAAATATATCATACAACATATTACAATATCTCACGACGCATTTTCAAGTTTTGAAAGCTTTGCGTAATAATTTCATTACCAATACCATCAAATATCTTTTCCTATAAAAATAGGGTGCTTTAATGAAAAGGGCTTGGGCCAACAAATATTTAACCAAAAATCATCCCAAAATGTTATTTAACCAAAAAGGCTCAAAGTTTAATAAAAAAATCATCCAAACTCTAGAAACAGTGACTTAAATTCCATAAACAGTGACTTAAATTCCAGAAAACAGTGACTTAGATTCCAGAAACAGTCTATGTTTTAACCTTTAACGGTTTATTTTCTTTCATGCATCAGTTGATTATATTTAAGAAACAGGGTGCTTATTCAAATACAGTGAATTTCACTACTTCTTTTCTATCTTACATTTAAGAAACTGTGTGTCTATTTCGTTGGGATCCATAAACAGTGACTTAGATTTCAAAAACAGTAACTTAGATTCCAGAAACAGTGTTACTTAAAATTCAGAAACAGTTTATTTTTACAGACCAAAAACAGTGACTCGTCGTTATTATTGAATAGCATGCAGTTCTCAAATTTATTTTCCGAAGAAACAAACGATGAACTCCACTGATGAAGAAAAATTGAAAACAGTACCTCGAATACACTACGAATAATAACAACGATCACATTTCAACAAAATAATACAAAATATGAATTAAATAGCATGAGGATCTATATTTTTGTTTCAAAGAAAAAGAAGAAGGTCTGCAAAACAACGATGAATTCCATTAACGACGAAAATCTGTAACTCAACCTAAAAAAGTATAGTTGGGCCATTTTTAGTTGGACTACTTTAATATGGGCTTTGTACTAATCATTAAACAAAACTTATAACATGGTTTTTTTTTATTAAAATTAAAAAATTTCAAGCTCTTTTCATTAGTTTTCCTATAAAAATAATCATGTTATTATTCATCAATTAATTTTCTTACAATTTCTCAATCGATCATTTAGAAATTTCATAGCTAAAAATGTTTTATCACGTGAAATTATTATATGTAATATGTACAATTTTTTCACAAAAAAAACTGAGTTAGGGCATCCGTCGCTTGGGCCTAAGGTGGTTCCATCCTTGGCAATACCACACATACTATGCATAAAAGTGACAAAAAAAAAATGAAATTATTTTAAGAAAAAAAATGTGGAAGAGTCATTTAAAATGTTATCGAGAAAATATTAATCTTTAAGGACTATTTCTTCTAAAATAAAATAAAATAAAAATTAATAATTAGGTCTTTGCTTAAAAGTTGGTTAAGCAATTTCGAACCTTTTTCTAATTTTGTTTTTTCTTGTGCATCCCTCACCTTGTGTTACGTTTATTACTACTGGTTTAAAAGGCAAAAGAACCTAATACAACAGAATGTGCGGACAAAAAAGTACATATGAAATCGACAATGTGATTTAAATAATCTTTGTGACACAAATTAAAGTAATGTGTTGAATCCAAGTACACAAAGTGCAAATTTTCAACAAAATGCTTTGTACAAAAGGAAAAAAAAAAATTATTGTTATTAGCATTTTACAATAATTATCGTGCACTCTTTCTTAATTGAAAGTTAATAAATAAAAGAAGAGTCTGTGGTGACTATCTAGAATGTTAATAATAATCCTAAAGAAAAACATATAGGATAATAGGTAACTAAAAGTACATCAGGCGATGAAAACACTACACTAGACATATGAATAATGATTCATGCAGGGTCATTCAATTTATTAGCAAAAGCAACCATGTGGATACAGGATCATATCAATCCATCACATTACACAAGCACGGTCTCTACATAGATTACATTTCTTTTTAACTAATTAATTAGCACTTTTTGGTGCACACGCAAGCACGGGTGAAGACACTACAATGGCCTCTGGTGAATTGCTCCTTTCTGCAAGTGTGTTTACAGTTGTTAGACGAAAAGCACAACCCTTTGAACAGGGTACTTGGAACCTCACAGATCTTCCCCTCAACTGCCTTGCTTGACTCAGTCTTTGCCTCAACACCCATTGGACCCATCTCTAAAGATCAATTTTTTTGGTTGAATAAGATGCTTTATTAGAAACATCATAAAAATTTAATTATTAAATAAAAGAGGTATAATGACCTGTAGCGGCCAAAAGCAAGACAAGAACGAAGGCAGCTGAAACAAGACGCATTGAACGCTCCATTTGAATCTGTGTATATGTTAGAGCAATTCCACCCCTAAGGACTTTGCGCCAGCACTCAGCGCATTTATCCACTCAAATGAACAGTAACAGACTTCAATGAACAGTAATAGGCCAAGACATCTCCACTCCTAAAAAAATACGCTGGCACAAACAATCTCCATCCCTACAAAATGCGCTGGCACCCAGCCCATTTAAAATATTTTTAAATTTTGTATAAAAGAATAAAAAATTAAAATAGTTTTAATTTCGGATAGGATTTTTAACCAATCTCGTCATGCCACATGTCATTATCTGAAAGTACTATTTTGTGAATAGATTTCCGCTAAGATTTTCAACCAATCCCAACACGCCACGTGTCACTTCCGTTTTACAATAATTTAGCCAAGATTTCGATAAGATTTTCAACCAATCACGTCATGCCACGTGTCATTATCTGAACGTACTATTTTGTGGATAGATTTCCGATAATATTTTCGACCAATCCCGACACGCCACGTGTCACTTCCGGTTTACAATAATTTAGCCAAGATTTCAATAAGATTTTCAACCAATCACGTAGTGCCACGTGGCATTGTCCAAAACCTCATCCTTTCTTTTTTTGTCCATATAAACCCTACATCCCTACATCCATCCTCACACCAAGCTCAATACTTCTTTTTAGCTCAGAATCCTTGTTCATCGTTTTCAAATCTTGAGTTCTTATTACAATGTCTTCTTTAAGAAGGGTGTATAAACAGTTGCAGGAGCAACAACAAAGGTTGTTGGCACAACAGGCAGAATTGGCCAATCTCGAGGAAGGTGGAGGTGGAGGTGGAGATGAGGCTTTCTTCATAGAGGAGGATGAGGATGATCACCATAGAAGGCAGAAGGCCTCACATTCCCGCCGTGTCATGGAAGCCGTGGGTCAGATAGCCAAACCAAGACGTGTTGCAAACCTCGATAGAAAAAGGGAAAAAACGAGGTAAAAATCTATTGGAAAATTATTTTATTTCCAATAGCATATTCCCTGATCATATTTTTAGACGGTGTTTTAGAATGTAACGAAATTTGTTCAACAAAATCATGAATGATATTTGCAACCATGATTCATACTTTGTGCAAAAAGAGGATGCTTTTCATGTTATAGGTCTTATTCTCGAGCAAAAAATTACGGCATCCTTGCGAATGCTTGCATATGGAGCATCTGCAGATCAAGTGGATGAGATTGCGAGGATGGGAAAAACAACTGTTTTGGAGTCCCTGATGCGGTTTTGCTCTGCAATTGAAGCCCTCTACACCAATGAGTACCTTTGGACACCCACGCCAAGGGACATGCGAAGGCTTCTGAGGAAGGGTGAGATGCGAGGCTTCCCTGACATGATTGGAAGCATCGACTGCATGCACTGGACTTGGAAAAACTGTCCAAGTGCGTGGCAAGGAGCAGATGGCAACAGAAAAGGAGCCAAAAGCATCATTTTGGAAGCGGTGGCTTCATTTGATACATGGATTTGGCATGCTTTTTTTGGTGTTCCAGGAGCTCAGAATGACCTAAATGTCATTGCCAACATTCCCATCTAGTGAATGATTTGTTCCCGTTCTTTGAATTGTAGAATGCTTGAGCTTGTAGTGTCTATAAAAATGTGGGATAACATAGTGTTAAAAAATGCAGGTGTAACACAAATAAATAAATTCAAAATATTGATACGGGTGGAATGCATATAAATTACATAAAAATGACATAAGAAATTAAATAAAAATTACATAAGAAATTAAATAAATTAAAATTTTGATGCGGGTGGAATGCATATAAAAATTACATAAGAAATAACATAAAAATTACATACGAAATTAAATAAATCAAAATATTAATGTGAGTGGAATGCATATAAATAAATAAAAATATTGTCACCTGATCCGCTAAATTTGTCCCACTACAGAGGTTACCGGAAGCATGAGAGATGGCGTTTTTCCAACAAGTAAAGGATGCGTTGAGTTTTTTCCAACGACCTTGAAGACCTTGACTAGTTCTGGCGTTTTCTCCATGTACATCGCAAAACGCTTTCGTAATTTTACTTCACATTTCTCGCTTATCCATCTCATTACCCGTAATCGGGTCATGAGTAGTGTGAACCCAACATTCACACAACGTAACATCTTCAATGAGCTTCCACGAAGACATTTTTTTCTCTTAAAGTGTAGAAAATATTGAAATGTAGATAGTATAGAAAGTGTAGAAAATATTGAAATGTGGTGTAAAGGTAGAAGATGAGGGTTAGGTATTTATAGGAAAAAAATTAACATTTTTCAAAATTTTCTATATTTTTTTTAAAAAAATTCTGTATTTTTTAATAATTTTTCTGTATTTTTTAATAATTTTTAATGAATTTTAATATAGTTAATTAATCTGGACCGTTGGATTTGAAAAATATTCAAATCCAAGAGCTAGGGAGGTGCCACGTGGCCAACGGTCATATTTATGACCGTTAGGCTTTTTTTTTTATTTACTTTTTGTGAAAAACACCTGGACTGTTGATCTTTGATCCAACGGTCTATTTTAAAAGTAAAATTTAAATTTTTTTTTACCGTTTGGAAATCCAACGGTCTAGAAAACTAGCCGTTGGAAATCCAACGGCATAAAGGAAGCCACGTCGCCAACTCGGGGGGGGGGGGGGACTGAGTGCGCCTGCAAGCGAGCCCGCGCTCTGAAACCTTGTCGGGCACTCGCGCCACGCCTGCGTGAAGCGCACGCGCCAGGCCAACTCCCCGGCTTCTGTCTCAGTCTCTTTTGGGCTAGTCCAGAGCCCAGCTCGGGCTGGGTACCAGTCAACATGAAGGGGTGGACTTGATTGACAGGGTGCTGGCCCTGTTTTTGTGCTGGGTCCTGGGAAAAGTCCACTCCGGTGGACTTGCTCTTAGTGTGTACTTGATTTGTGTGTGTTCTATGTGTGTGCTTGTGTATAATAAGAGAGATCTTAGGCGCTGATGCAAAAAACAATAACCATGCAAGGCTTATTATATAGTGATCTAGTGCAGATTAAAGAGGAACAGTCTCCGTAAAGCCAGGTAGCTCGATACCCAAAGTACAAAGTTGAAATTTCCAACTTACGCGACACCATAAACCAAATCCCTATTTTTGTTGACTAAGTTCTCTGTCATACATTTTTCTATGCACATTAGAGTTTCTTTTTCAAGCACATTTTACTTTTGCTTTTAAAAGAATATTTGGGTTTTAAGCACTTTGACTTATTATTCACATTTGTATATGTAAATGAAGCGGCATATACCATAGTTCTTATAACAATATAACTGTTTTTTTACACAAGTTTTACTATGTCTGTACTAAACTAATCTAAATTATATAGATGTGGATTTGAATATTAGGAACTTTAACGAAAAGCATCCGGTACTATTCACTTTAACGAAAAACCACATTTTTACACTAAAAAGTCAATCCTGATACTATTCACTTTACCCTTTATTTTGTCATTATCATTAAAACTCAAAGTTTTCAAGCCATTTTCATTAGCTTTCCCTTGAATATTTGAATACCAACTTTGTAAATAAAAGATAATACGATGTGTTGTGCCTTGGCCCGTTCGTTAGTGCGGAAACGAGATTCAAATTACAACCTCATCAAATCACACTCAGCTGAACAGAATAAAATACAAGAAATAAAAACATCGAGAAATTTACGAGGTTCAGCAAAAACATGCCTACGTCCCCGGAGAGATATTGCTCTTCACTATGAATAACAGTACAAGTAAACATGAGTTAAATCAACATAACTCAATCCCGAATCCCTTGCACGCCCACTCATAGAATTTTCCCAAAAGCCTCACTCTACCCCAAGAGTTCTTTCACTAGAATATTTTTCACTTTAACTCTCTTGATTTTCTATCAACCCATGTTCAACATTTCCCATGGAAGAGGCGGATGCTCTCCCCTTGGATGCTTCTATGATGTTTTACATTCCCACTTTCTAAGCATTACTAAATGCACAAATATTGCATCTACTTATAGGCATACACTAGCAACTATGCCAACAACAACCAAAACAAAAAAGTCTTAAGTTCACATAATATAATTATTACCTAGCCTACCTAGCATGCACCAAAGTCTATACCTAGTCTATAAAGTACAATTTTCTCCATTTGTCATTTAATGCGTAGAAGAGAAAACATGCACAATTGTGTGCAAGCAAACACAAGGTCAAGTCTTGCTTGCTTCTAACTTTGCTTGTGGCAGTCACCATGTCTTCAATTGTTGTCAACACATGACTCATAATTACTTACAAATGTATGAGCCAAACACAACACGATGGATGGGGCATCAGTTGTTTTTTCTTCGGCAAATGCAACAAATTCATAGAAATCTTTGCATCAATAAGCATCTAACATATTCGTACTTTCTTGCAGTAGCAGAAAACAGTTATGCACTTTCACCATGGAGCATGTTTGATCCCTACCAATTCTTTTCCTCCTAACAACTATCTATTTAACCCATTAACGTTATCGTTTGTCAAAATAAAAAATAAAAAAAGCATCAAACATATTGCTCAAGAATGATGAAATCAGAAGATTCATAATTCATTGCATCAACCTTCAGTAGTTTAGATGAACCCTTGAACATTCTTTATACAATGCTCTACGAATTCATGAGGAAGATGACACAAGAAACCTACTCATAGTTCTCCAGGATCTACAGAGAGATCGGGTAGAATATTACGTCCATGTTCAGGTGAGGTAGTTGATGAATTCCGCAGCGGTCGCAATGGCACCTCCTGTAATTGCATCCACCAGAACTTTATCTTTGTTCTCTTTGCTGGCTGCAGATACTAGAGCCCCTGTCAATGCACCCCCGAGCAATGCATTCTTCTGCAGGATATCAAAAGAAAAAGGGTGAGCAGATGCAGAAGTTCCAATCGAAGTCCAAAAATTAAATAAAAAGGAACTTGAAATGGCATGCTTGAATGTAATTTTAGAAGCTACCCGCGCATACTGAAAACGAACAATTATACAAATCATGGCAACGGGAGGATCTAGGGAACATAGAGATTAAGAGTTTTAACTTAGCAAGTAGACAATCTGAAACAATTTCCCAAATCTAGAAGCTTCATGTGCAAACTAGGACGAATGAGCATGAAAATTACGGCCAACAGGTACTGTACAACTAGCTATCTAGAATTCGAACAGACATATACCCAGTCTCTGCGTCCACGGACCCTCTCGATACCATACTCTGCTCCCACGTACAGTCCAGCTACAGTTCCTGTCAATGCAATAGAAGAAATTGTTGATGCAGTTCTCAATTCGCAAAAGTGAGAGGAAGCTGAAGCAATTTTCCGGGAGGACGAGCATAATCTCATCCATACGGACCATACATACAACTAACTCACAATGAAATACGACTCAACTTACCCCAATATGCACCTTCTTTACACATCTTCTTCAACTGCAAAAAGCAGTAGTCTCAATTAGCAGGATTCGGAAATTGTGTTACATCCCAATTTTCTTCTATGAATAGACAACCGATCACCTATTCAACCAATAACCACAGTATAAATAAGACCTCCAAAAAGCTGTAGATCCCACTAAACAAAATCAATTGAGCAACAACTGAAGATGCTGAATTAACTGAACGTAGAGCTACTAGTATGTTTTTTCGGTAACAAGGGGACCAAAGGCCGAGCACAAATCAAACAAAACAAAGTAAACCAGCAAGATCATTAAGCACAACACTAACAATCCAAGTGGGAAATCAAAATCGGTACTTTCAATCTCAATGTCGAGGTTAAGAGTAGCTACTAATCTTGGATCATACAAGAATCGAAAAACCGAATTAATTAAACAAGGGATTGTTCTGGTTACTCACAGTGTGCTCAAAGTCTTTAGTCGAAATGCCCCCTGCAAAAACCACCTCAAATTATTAGTAAATATAAATAAAAAATTAAAAGAAAAACCCAAAAATCTCATTCAGAAACCACAATAAATACAACCATCATCATCAGACCGCAGCTCAATATGATCGGCATCTGAAATTTAAAAGTTTCCCACTCTCATTTTCTGTGTTTCTCGGGAACCAAACAGTAGGACTGCAATGATAAACAACAATACCTTTCTTGGCCGCAGAGAAAGCATCCTCTGCAACAGCTCTGGTAGCAGCAACCTGAAACCAAACCAACAAAACCCAGAAGTGAAATACTAAATTGAAAAACAACCAAAAAAATTAAAAAAAAAATGCTGAAGATAATTTTAAATTTTTTTAAAAAAAAATAGAAAAATCGTACTGTTCCGATCTTCAAGAAGCCATCGACGGTGTGGTTGAGCAAGGGGTTTCCCAAGTCGATGATCACGTCGACCTGCGGCCCTGTAAGCGCCCCTGAGAAACTGCTTCTCGGCATCTTCTTCTTCTTCTCCTTTTCTCTCTCTCCCTCCTCTGTGTTTGTAGTGCGACTGTAACACTATGGTGACAAAAGTGGTGGGGGTGATTCGTGATACGATATTTATCAGTGATGAGACATTTACAAGAATGCCATCGGAAGATGCCATGCAATGCAACATCAATTGCATTAGGCGGTGCCGGTGGATCAAGTGCAATGGTGCGTCATGTGCATGTGAACGTGTCAATGCTAAACACGGTTTATACTTTGGTTGTGAAAATTTTCATTTTTTAAAAAAATAATTTTTGCTTCGATTTTTTGAGAATTTTTCAGGGTAATGGGACGTGGTCTAGTACACCAAATATCATAATATAATGGTTGAAATTTTTTTAGATCTTCAACTACTTGTGTTGTGACACTTGATGTACCAAGTTGTGTTTCTGCCACACTGAAAAGTCTCTCCGATTTTTCTACAAAAGGTGGAGGTTTTGGTTAAAACTTCGTTCTCAAGCTATAATTGTTTTCTCATTCCCCAAAGAAGAATTAAATGAATCGATAAAAGTTGTAGTTGTTGCTTAATCTAATCTATTATCTAATGTGTGAGTGTGAGCTTAACTTAAGGAGAAGGTAAGGGTTTGGACTTTGTAAATGCTAGATCATCACTTGCTCATGGCAATGTTTGATTTAGAATTCGTCCTCGTAATTTTAGATCCCAACCCAATTTGTATTAGCAGTGTCCAAAACATAGCAAAAAAACGTATTAAAATTCATGATTGATACTCCAGAGATGACTAAAATCGACGATCTCATTATCATTTCCATTTCTTGAGGACTTTTACTCTTATAAAACTATTGAAAGGCGTATGTCATCGTTACAAGTTGTTCAAGTTCGACATGTGTTCAATGACGCAAGCTTAGTGGCAAATGAACTTATGAAGGACATGAGTTCTTGTCGTAATTTTTTTTTTTCATAAAAAATTCTCATTCGCATTCCTTCTTTTCTTTCTTGAATTCACAACTTCCCCCATTCCAACTATGCAAACACGTAATATATGAAGAAGGAAAGACACTACGAGAATGAGAAAGATGAAAGTTTAGGGTTTAGGGTCACCATTGCAGTTCTGCATAACTCACAGACATCAATGTTTGTGTCTTTGTAGCATAAACATTTTTTTGCATACATTAGTAGAAAACATGCAACATAATCATTGGTCTACAATCTTCTTGGGGGAAAAGAACAGGAAACTTGAAAATATTACTCAAAAATTGAGTAAATAGGGATTGTTCTCCAACTTAATCTAACCCTCTTACTGAAAGAAAAGGCATAAATATGACCTTTCTGTACAACTTCATGCCCATTACCAGGCCTAAAAGCTGGTGCTGGAAACACTGGCCATGCATTTGATCCATCAACCTCAAGCCAAAATCTTTCCCTCTGTCCCACAGAAACCCACACCCCCTTCCCTCCAACTGGAACCATCCTCGCCCCATGCGCCTTTATCCTCGGCCTCTCGACGATTTGGTTTGGTAAAAAAACCGATTAATCTGCATCGATACATAGAATTTGGATTATTAGCCAATACTGTCCACAGCCTCAGCTTCACACCTAACTGACCAAGTCAGTATCATCAACCGCCCATTGAATGATGCTATGGTGAACCCTTCTGCCTCCTTGGGCACGAATGACTTGAGAAACACCTAACAGTTGGTGCTAGGGTTGTAGATTTCAGCTGAGTGCTCGAGGGCTTTGCTGCCACCGACCACGAAAGAACCTGCCTTTGTGAGTGAATCCTGATGCAAATGCTCGTGGATTCTGCATGTTTTGCAGTGCTTGCCACTTCCATGTCTTCAGGTTCAGACGTTCAGCGGAGTTTAAGTAAGATGAAGGATCAATATCTGCATATGATCATCGAGTTAGGTCTACAAGAAAAGTGATCATTGTGCCAATGTACACATTTTCAGCTGAGTGCTCGAGTGGCTATATTTTTAAATCTAGAAAAACGGCCTAAAGTTCATTTACATATTTGTGTTTTTTCACTCATGGCTAAAATTGAAAATTGCTTGTTCGAGTACACATCAAAACCCTAATTGGGTAATTGATATTTTGAGTTTTAATCTGATTTTTATATATTTCCATGACCAAGTCACACACAAAACACCAAACATATTGAAACATACACATTTAACCATTTCACAAAATTTGGAAATGAATATTATTATAGCAGTGCTTACTGGAAGGGTTGACCTTGTAGCCTCCGGCAACATAGAACCACCCATCAAGAAGGGCACAGGCAGCGCCAAGCAGGTTCCGATCCTCACGGTTCATTTAAGGGACATCATAAAGTGAATTGTCACTGCATGAATAGGTATACAGACTGGCATAAGGTTGATCAGGACGCTCCACAAGCTTGGCACACAAGAACTGTTTAGAAAATACTCCGATCACTTGGATTCTGCACCCCGATTCGGATAGAGCCCGAGGGACTACCACGGAATGGAATTGGGTTGGAGTGCATTGGTAGGCAAACCATTCCCATGATGGAAATGAATATGTGGTCTCCGCTTGTTTGTTCTTCTTTTTGCTTTTATGATCAATGAGGGGATTTTTTTCGGATTTCAACAATGTAGATCTCATTGAAACGGCCAGAATCAGAAACTGGGAAGACGGAGTTGTGCAAAGGAATGAGGGATTGATCATTTGGTTTGGCATGAAACAATAGTTAGGGTAAGATGAAACAATCATCTTATAAAAAATCTCAAGGCATGTTTACTAAAGAGTATAGAATATCATGGATCCTGAGTTCAAATTAAACATAACTTAGAGTATGTTTACTGTTCCAAAAATCACCCTAGGCGATGCCTAGGCACTGGGCGGCTGAGCCTCACTTCATTTCTAGCTAGAACGGTTACAAAAAGCAGGGAGGATTAGGCGGCCCTAGGTGACAGTCTAGGTGGGTTCAATACCCACCATTTTTTCATAAATAGTTTAATACATAGAATAAATACAAAATATTCACATGATGCACAACAAAAAAATGTAAGGCATTTGCATATAGCGCTTTATCGGAGTAGCGGAAAATAATTATGTCTATGCATTTCTGTGCGGATTTGACCCCTAGAGGTTACCATCTCTTGTAACAAACTAACTATCTAACCCACTAAAACTATCGTTTTATTCAAAATTGTAAGGCAAACAATTTTTGAATGGATGTGTTATTCACACACATCTTTTTACTTTCTACACATCTCATTCAATTTTGGTTGTCGAATCGAATGAATTGAAGAAAATCTATAAATAAAAATTAACAAGATATGTGAAAGAATTAAGAAGGGGCGTGGATAGCACACTTGTTTCTCAATTTCCCATAGCAGCCTCAAAATCCAAAGGCTACTATCAAGAAGACAAAGTAGCTAAACGGTGCCGTTAATACGGTTCTGATAATTGTCTTGTAAAGGGTTTTACCTCACTATAAAGACAGAGATCTGCTGAGCGAGCCCTGTTCCATAAACCCTAACCTAACTTCGAGATTTTCCATAGAGAGAGCAATTAAGCTGAAATCGTAGAAATTCGATACAATCCAGTATGGACAAGAGCATGATAGGAGATCTGGATTCGCTTCCAGAGGAAGATAAGATGAGAATGGCCACCATGATCGACCAGCTCCAGATCCGCGACAGGTCATTCTCTCTCTCTCTCTCTCTCTCTCTCTCTCTCTCTCTCTCTCTCTCTATTTATCTATCTAGTTCATTGCCTAAATTTACGCTTAAAGTTCTTTAATTTTCTTCATCTGTCTTGTGGGTTCTTAAATTCTGTGAATTTCAGCTTGATACTATGATAGAAAACTCGAAATTTGATTAAAAGTCTGCAAATTTTGCTAACTTATGAGATGAGAGATTGTGGGTATACGATGAAATTTGGGTAGTGCATGTTTGATGTCTTAGATTTCGTTGGCCAATTTGTTTTTGCGTTTCTTACATATTGGGTGGTTTGTCCTGCTTAATTTGTGCTATGTAATGCAATACTGTTTTCGTTTGCAGTTAGATTCCTACTGATCACTTTGTCTTTTTGATGAAGGGGGTTATCAGACGGAAAAATAATGTTGAAGTAATTCACAAAATTCAATGTATGTTGAAGTAAGAAATGAATGCCAACATCCACATTTTGTTGAAGTTGATAGTGTGTGTCGCTACGGGACTTTAAAGTTCCATGGAGCTTAGGCTAAATTTGTTATGAATTAACAACAAAAATTAGATAGAGACTTAAAAACGACTAGATGCAATACATTTGAAGGAACTTTGAAATGAGAGGTGTCGTTTGAGATTCCTTTGTTTAGTCCCTTTGTAGTGCATATGAAGAGTACGGAGTATCAAGGCATTTGATTGACTCAGATTTGTTTCTTCACTTTTTCTTTTTGTATGAAGCAGGTCACTTGGTTTAATTTTGTGAACACTCTTTTTGTGGAGCCATATAGAAGTTCTCCTTAAAACCAGTGCAACATATATGTGTTGCTTCTGGACGTTTTAGGAACTACATTAGTTATGTGTTATGAAAATGTTGTTTATTCCCGAGTGAGTTTTACTCAAGTAACAAAAAATAACATTTGACGAGTTACTGTTTGAGCACCTGATGAATCTTGTAAGTTGTCCAATCCATTTAAGTCCTAGGCACCAAACGCAGCCTTAGCATCTTCGTGAAGATCATTGAATATTAAGGAATTTGATTGACTTAGATTTGTTGATTCACAATTCCGTTTTGTATGATATGGGTCACATGGTCTAATTTTGTGAAAACTCTTTGTGAAGCCATATAGAAGTTCTCCTTAAAACCAGTGCAATGTCCATGTTGCTTCTGGACGTTTTGGGAACTACATTAGTTGTGTTGATGCAAATGGTGTTTATTCCTGAGTGTAAGAGCTTTACCCAAACAAAATGAAAATTAGATGAGATACTATACTGGTTAATCGCCTGAACCTTGTTGCTTGTAACCGTAAGCAATTATCTTGCACCTTCTGTCATAAGCTTGTATAGCTTCCTTTGTTTTTTCATCTGGGCATTTCTAATTCAAATCGTGTGATTCCTTCAGACTTTGTACAGCTTGTTCTGAGTCGTATTACGTTTACTTGTTTTTTCTGTTCCCATATGCTATTTGTCCCATGTACAGTACATGCGGAAGAAATGTTAATACATTCAAGAAATGATATAACACCAACTATACGCAATTAAGGTATTGTTTCCTGGTACTTGGACTAAGTTGGACTTATCTGTACGAAAAAGACCTGTTAGTGTAGTTTGAGTTAGTATTTTGGCCTAGTACCTGTATAGGATATGTTGTGAAGGTACTTGAATTGAGCTTTTCTGATGCCATTGTCACCGTAAAGAACGGAAACATCCTGCTAACAATACGAGTTTGCTTGCAGTTTGAGAATGTATAACTCACTTGTTGAGAGATGCTTCAATGATTGTGTCGACACCTTTAAGCACAAATCGCTGCAGAAGCAAGAGGAAACCTGTGTCAGGCGATGTGCTGAGAAGTTCCTAAAGCATTCCATGCGTGTTGGAATGAGGTTTGCAGAGCTCAACCAGGGAGCTGCAACACAAGATTAGTCGTCAAATCAGCAAGATCACGCCCGGTCATGCCCGTCTTACCCTGTTGTTTCCTTGCTTTCTTAGAGTATGTCCCCCCGTTCTTACATAGAAGGACAAATGGTAGTTGTACCCATTTTTCATGATTTCACTTTTCTTATCCAAGCTAAAACAGCAAAATTGTATTATGTAGATGCAAGGGATCCGTAAGTTGCTGTCTGATTCGAGTTTTTACCGTTACAAATCCAAGCAGCATAGCAATCCTTGAATTCCTGTTTTAATGAATGGGGCATACCTTTACTTAATTTTGTGCCTTTCAATTCAAAGAAAAATGTATAATTCGGAGCGTTGCGTGCTTGGATTTTACAGCTCCACATGAAATGATGCAAAACATCTTCACTAAATATCTAAGCAACGTAACAAAACTAATTTTCGAGAGACGCTATTAGAGTTTGAGATGACAATTTTGGAGCGCCAAAAACAAATCCCAACGCTAGAATACTGTACAAACCACAAGATTGTCGGAAACAGAACAAACACATCGAAACCATCACAACTGAAATACACATTACCAGAAATTCAAACTTCTGAATCAGCGGCCTGGTAGTTTCATCTCACAAAGCAAAAGATCCAAACGTAACAGAAGCTTGTCCAAGCAAATTAGCAGAAGCAATACAAAGGTTGCAAAAGCATATTGTTGCAAACTACACAAGATATTCAGTCACTTGCTGGTGTACACAGTTCGAATCCATTCCTAGGAAGATTGATTTACTCATCATCCTTGTGATGGCGTTTCAAGCTCTTCTTCTCAGATCGCTTCCTGCCCCTACCTACCCGTGAATCATCATCCGAATCAGATGGTGTTGCTGCCTTCCTGCTCCTCCGACGGTGTCTACGAGAATCATCAGACGAATCAGATTCAGAATCATCTGAATGCCGATGACTTCTCCTCCTCCTCTTCTCCTTCCTACTTTTCCTATGCCGCCGCCGACGCTCGCCATCCTCATCTGAGGACTCATCCCTCTTCCTCCGCTTCTCCTTCCTTTTTCTCTTCCTACCTTCATCTGACTCATCTGAATCATCATCATATTTCCTCTTGCTGCTCCTCCTCTTCTTCGACCTTCCTCTCTTCTTCCTCTTCCCAGAATCTGAATCTGACTCATCATCGTCTGTGTCATCATTCTTCTTTTTCGACATCTTTTTACTAACCTTTATCCCATTTTTTTGAGCAATGATCTTCTCAATTTCTGAATCATAATCCGAATCCTCGCTCTCACTGTCTTCATCCTCATCCTCACTCTCCTCACTCTCATCCACATTTTTCCCACTGCTCCTACCGATCTTCCTCTTCAACCTAGCCAACTCTGAGGCAACATCACCCTGAATCCCTTCCGGCTCTCTCTCTTTATCTTCCTTAACACTCAGAAAGTTCCTGCACTGAAACTTGAGGTGTCCAACACGGCCGCACCTGCTGCATGACCCACGAGTCTCATCAGCGCTGGACCCAGTTATACGGGCAAGTGCAAGGAGGCCCTGGAAGCTCGCATATGCATTCTCACCATCCGGTTCAGCGTTTGACACATCGGGTTGCGCAGAGCTCTTGGTGTCATCTTTGTTGGGTGCATAGGGGTCATACCCAATTGCACTCTGCCATATACCGTGGGTTTGAAGGGCGGCACTACTGTGTACCCGATTGTTCGCGGGCATGCGAACCCTTCCCGCTGTGGCAGGCATCTTGAAATTCGAATATCAAACCCTAAAGAGACAAACTAAATCAGAATTCTCAAAAACTACAACACCCACAAAAGGAAAAAAAAAATTAATTGAATCTAATCTAATTTGCGATCAATACGAAACCCTAGTGCTAGTAAACCCAAAAGGGGTTCGATAACTCAACAATTTGAAATTCAAATTCTAAGGTTTTTATAACTCCGATTAAAATATCTAATTACAATCAGCAATCAGAAATTAATGCAATAGAATCGACCTGCGATTACAACAAACTACACAACAATTTCGAGCTTTTTTGAAACAGAGAATCGAAAATTGTGCGTGCGATGGGATTCAAATTCTAGGGTTTGTTCTACGTTGCAATTGACAGAGGAGTATCAATGGAGAGCGAAAATTGAGATGGAAAGATTGAATCTTTACCTTTGAATCGGACAGGCGAGGCGAAACAAAACGAAACTTGTCGAAGAGCAAAAGGATATCGTGATCGGGGAAGGTTGAACCCGACTGAATATATCAAATATATATCCTTTTCGTTTCCATTTTATTGGCCGACATCAATTGCCAGTCGTCTTTTGTTTTTAAGAGCAAGTCCAGCGGGGACAAAATGTCCCAGCCCTCAGTCCAAAAAACAAGCCAGGCCCTGTCAATCAAGTCCACCCCCTCAAGTTGATTGGTACCCAGCCCGAGCTGGGCTTTAGACCAGCCCAAAAGAGACTGAGCAAGAAGCCGGGCTGTTGGCCTGGCACGTGCGCTTCACGCAAGCGTGGCGCGAGTGCCCGACAGGCTTTCAGAGCCCGGGCTCATGTGCAGGCGCTGTCAGTTCCACCCCCCGAGTTTGCGACGTGGCTCCCTCTCTGCCGTTGGATTTCCAACGGTAAAAAAATTTTAAATTTTATTTTTAAAATAGACCGTCGGATCAAAGATCAACGGTCCACGTTTTTTTCACAAAAAGTAAATAAAAAAAAAAGGGCCCAACGGTCAAAAATATGACCGTTGGCCACGTGGCAACTCCCTAGCTCTTGGATTTGAATATTTTTCAAATCCAACGGTTCAGATTAATTAACTATATTAAAATTCATTAAAAATTATTAAAAAATACATAAAAATTATTAAAAAATACATAAAAATTTTTAAAAAATTACAGAAAATTTTGAAAAATGTTAATTTTTTTCCTATAAATACCTAACCCTCATCTTCTACCTTTACACCACATTTCAATATTTTCTACACTTTCTATACTATCTACATTTCAATATTTTCTACACTTTAAGAGAAAAAAATGTCTTCGTGGAAGCTCATTGAAGATGTTACGTTGTGTGAATGTTGGGTTCACACTACTCATGATCCGATTACGGGTAATGAGATGGATAAGCGAGAAATGTGGAGTAAAATTACGAAAGCGTTTTGCGATGTAGATGGAGAAAACGCCAGAACTAGTCAAGGTCTTCAAGGTCGTTGGAAAAAACTCAACGCATCCTTTACTTGTTGGAAAAACGCCATCTCTCATGCTTCCGGTAACCTCCGTAGTGGGACAAGTTTAGCGGATCAGGTGACAATATTTTTATTTATTTATATGCATTCCACTCACATTAATATTTTGATTTATTTAATTTCGTATGTAATTTTTATGTTATTTCTTATGTAATTTTTATGTAATTTTTATTTAATTTCTTATGTCATTTTTATTTAATTTATTATGTCATTTTTATGTAATTTATATGCATTCCACCCGTATCAATATTTTGAATTTATTTATTTGTGTTACACCCGCATTTTTTAACACTATGTTATCCCACATTTTTATAGACACTACAAGCTCAAGCATTCTACAATTCAAGGAACGGGAACAAATCATTCACTAGATGGGAATGTTGGCAAATTGTCAAAGATTGCCCTAAATACAAAATTGTGACAACTGGTCCAGAAGTTGTCATGCACGATATAGGTCTACATAGTTCTCCAGAACCAGACATGGCCGAACAAGAAGCCGACACATTTCAAGACACGGAAGGGATGCTTGAACAAGTGCCCGAGACCAACCGACTCGTCAGTCCCTCAGGCCCGTAGGTAAAAAGGCGTCAAAGAAAAAAGGTAGTTCTTCCAAGAATGACTACACTAAATATATGGAGGAACTTGCTCGCCAAGGTGAACTGAATATGGCACGAGAAAAGGTTAGAGATGAGGAAAAAGTTGCTGCTATGGCAGCAATATTAGCAGCTACTGAGGCCCGTGATGCGGCGGCTGAGAGATAAAGATAAGTAGTTAATCGAGAGAACGAGCTGGTTAGAGAAGCACTTCATCGAGAAAATGAATTGCTTCGAGAAGAAAGGATGGCTCAAGCAGATCGTGACACTATGAGCAAGTCTCTAGTATGACTGTCTCCGAATTCTAAATATTTTTGGACATTGGAAAAAAGAGATGTCATGCGAAGGAGGCGTGCAAGAGATGCGGAAACAAGTCAAGGGGGTTCTAGCAACTTTTGTGACAACCAAGATCCTCGCACCACATATCCTAACTCGAGAGACTTTGTATAATTTTTATGTATTTTTTATGTTTTTTCTTTCTTTTTTCTTTTGAACTTTATTTAATTTCTTATGTTTTTTTCTTTTTTTAGGTTTGAACTTTATTTAATTTCTTATGTAATTTTTATGTTATTTCTTATTTATTTTTAAAACTTTATTTATTTTTATTTAATTTATTATGCAATTTTAATGTAATTCTTTATTTATTTTTAAAACTTTATTTCTTTTGTACTTTATTTAAACACATGAAATAAGATTACATAAACTCACCAAATAAATTTTAAAAAAAGACACACTACATAGAATTACATAAACTCACCAAATAAACTTAAAAACAAAACACACTACATAGAATTACATAAACTCACCAAATACATAGAATTACATAAACTCACTAAATAAACTTAAAAACAAAACACACTACACAGAATTACGTAAACTTAAAAAAAATACAATTTATTCTTCAACCACAAGCCTCATTCTAATTATCTTTGCCTTCATGCAATCCCCACTGGTGCTCAATCAAGTCATTCTGGCGGGTTACGTGCCAGTATGGCTCTTGCACATTAATGTACCGCTGAACGATCAATTCATTGTAACGTCCATCGCGTTCCAACGGCTCGTGTTGCACTGGATCTTTGGTCCCATTATGAGCACAATAGATACGTGTTCTTGAGTTGTTCATCGGATCCGGCTCATATTCATCGACGCCATCATAATCATACTCATCTTCAACAATCATGTTGTGGAGAATAATACACTTCATCATGATGGATCGAAGAGCCTCGACATCAAACATTCTAGCTGCAGCCCTGATAATCGCCCAACGAGCTTGCAGGATACCAAAACAACGCTCGACATCCTTCCTACACCCTTCTTGACATTTTGCAAAGTGTTTTTCCTTTTCATTCTGTGGATGTGGCACTGTTTTGACAAATGTTGACCACCTTGGGTAAATGCCATCTGCAAGGTAGTATGATCCCTCGTATTGGGTACCATTAATGGTATATGTGCAT